CCCCTGTCCACCCTACAGTTGGTGTGCCCCTGTCCACCCTACAGTTGGTGTGCCCCTGTCCAGGCAGAGGCACTGCAGTTTCTCTGCCGCCAGAGAGTGGCCTTGCCCGGGGAGGTTTCAGAAGCTGTGGCAGAGGTAGCAGAAATGTCCTGCCTGCCTCTGCCTTGTAGACGTCAAGCCTAATCTTCACAAGCATAGCATGCGGCAGGGCTGCACAGCCAGCACGTGGTCAGAGAGCTGCATGTCAGCATTTCCTGCTTGACCCTCATGGTGACATGGTGACAACACGTCCTCTGCTCAGCTGAGGTCCCCAAATCGCCAGGGCCAGGGGGTCCACGGCTCGTGACATTCCGATGCTCTCGGGATGGCCAGGTGTATTTTTAGTGTCCTGTTGTTTCCTCTGAGGGGTGTGGCTAGAGAATCCAGTTAGAGCTCTTCCTGGGCTCCTCTGCTGGGTGATCTGCTCGGGGCCTGGAGCGTCTTGCTGGCTGCTGTGGCCTGGTGAGCCTGGGTGGCTCTCGGAGCCTCCGATGACTCACATTTCCACCCTGTGCCTCCACCCTCCACCCACCCCTGTCCGGGACTGAGGGAAGGAGCTGGTGTTTGATTTATCAGTAATGTAGGGGTAGCGACAGATAAATGGACTGGGAGCAGAAACCAAGCATGAGCCTAAAAAGGCTCATCTCAGGAACTGACTTCAGTTTGGAGGAGATAAAAGCTGGGATGGATGTCTGTCAACTCGGGAGCCGCCCATCTGTCCCCAGTTCACGGGCCTGTCAGCAGGCCTGGGGACTCAGAGCCTGTGAGTGGCAGACACCCTTCCTCTAAGCACTGGGTCCACACCTCACCGCCAGCGGAGAACAATAAGAGCTTTCACTGTGCCTATGGGAGCCTTTTAATTTTTTTTTTTTTTGGTAACATGCAAACGGCCACTGGACTAAGGTTAAAAATACCGCGTGTTTTGCATTTTCCAGGTCCCAATATGGCATGAAATAGCCAAAGAAAGACTTTTCTTATCCTCAGCATTTCCTCTGGACAGAGGCTTGGGCATTGGCCTGAGCTCTCCCAAAACACACAGGGAGGCTGGTGGGATAAGGCACCATGTGGCAGCGCCAAGTTGTGCTCTGTACAAGTCTTGTCTGGCTGGGTTTCGGGGTTTCCCTGCCTCTGTCTCCCTCAGAAGAGGCTGAGGTAGGAGCCCTCTCTTGATGTGTGCTGGGGCCACTAAGAGGTATGTAAACACAGACATAGGATGGACCATTAGAAACATTCCTGACTGTGTGGGTCCCTCTGACTCAGAGGTTACACTGGACGTTGTCTTTGGACTTTACTAACTCTACAAGGCCAGTCCTCTGAATCTGGTGGGTGCTCACCACTGGAAGGGCCAGATGTCTAGGGAGCCCAGAGTGCTGTCTTGGCCCACATCCTGAGCAGCTAGACACTGCCATTCCCCGATATCACCATTCCTTCCCATTCTCCCCTCCCTGATCTTCAGTTTCTGGGTCACCTGGAAGGTTTTGAAGACAGACTATGCCCACACAAAGTGACAGATTTCTTCCTGCCCTTTGTTCCAGATGGCCACCACGTCTGGGAGATGGAAGCAAAAACTGACCGAGACCTGTGCAAGCCAGTAAGTACTTAGGATCCGGAATCAGGGACTGGAGGCCAGTCTAGGGCTCCTGCTCATTAAAATGAAGAAATGCTAAAACAAAAAAACCAGACAAAGGCGGTGAGAAAACACAGCCATAAATCTCTTGCCCAAACAAATGCCATCAGGATAGAGTTGGGGCAATAGCAGTGACCTTGAGGACAGAGACTGGATGGAACTTGAGGCCTCTTTGTGTTGTGTTTGCTTTGTCTTTTAGAGGTAGCAGATTCTATCTCCTCTTGCTAATGCTCTACCCCCGGGAGATCTTGGTGTTCTAAGCCTTGTTCATGGACACCAAGCACCTGCCTGGACATGCCACCCTGCCTGTGTGACTTGCCACCACCCTCTCCAGAGAATGCCTCAACTACCTAGCACTCTTGTTTTGAACTTGACATGAATGAGAGGGTAGACCTAACCGGATAGCTTAGATCTGCTGGTTGGTTTTGCTGATGAGCTGTGGTAACCGTGTGGCATGACCTGTGGGTGACATAATTAGTCTCCCGCCTGCTCATAGACATGGCACCTGCCCATGCTTCTTCTTCACCTTCACATCAGGCTGTTGTTGTTTGTGATTGGCTAATTATGTTGGAAATATGTTTTGCTACACCAGTGTATTTCTGACTGTTGGTGTGGTCTCCTTTCTCACGGCTGCCCATCTCTTCACCTCCAATGGCCACTGGGGACAAAGTGGAGTCAGGCCTTGTTTGCTGACTACAATCTGTCTCTACCATTCTCACAGTGTTCTCTCTGGTTTGCTTGGCTTTTGCAGTGCCAGAAGTTGAACTAAGAGCCACACATGCTGGGCAAATGCTCCACCATTGAGCTATATTCCCAACCCCAACACTGTCTTTTAATTGGACATTAAGCCATGGATGCTTAAAGCGATCATTAGTTCAGACAAGTCAGAAAACCCTTGCTCAGTTCTGTGTGTGTTCTCTCCAGTCTCAGGATAACAGAACATACTACAGCCAGGGAGTGGGTTTTCGTAAAAGCAACTAAAATCCTCCCAGACTCTATAGTTCATTCCACTGACTGCTTTTCAATAGTCCAGGCAGTGCTCTTGTGAACACAGGACAAAGGGGGCCTTTGGTGTGCTCTGTGTGTGGAAGTGGGGTTTAAAGTGATTCAGAAACCTTGGGCAAATTTCTCTCGGGCCACCTGTGAACACGGTGCAGCCAGAGTCACATAAACAAGACATGCTGGTAGCGGGACTCACAGAGCAGACAGGTGGTCACGGCTCTCGTTAGCATACAGTCGCCAGGGTGTTTGCTTCACTTGCAGCAGACACAGGCTGCCTTCCTGCCCTCTGGGTGACTCCGTCAGAATGAAACAGATTTGCTTTTCTACTGCAGTTCCTCTTCCAGGCACCGATCCACTCTCAAGGAGCCTTTCAAAGTCTTTGTCAGGTGGAAGAGTCCTCTCTGACCAGGATGATACTTGTTCGTGAAGGTGAAGCATTAATCATTCATCCGCAGTGCCTGGCTTCCTCCCTCCCACTGAGGAAGTCTTTCTCTGCCTCGGTCTAGTTTCTCAGCTTCACACAAGAAGCCGTTATGGAAATATTGAAGATAATGGCATGTGCCTATGTGCATATGCATACACATACACATATACCACATAGAGGGACACACAAAACATACATGCACTGCACACACATTGCATCTGCAGATATTTCAAAGATGGGTTTCTGCTGTGTATGTGATTACACCTTGCATACAACTAAAAATATGAACTCGAGGCAGCAAGCTTTCCTGAAGCCTTAGATGTTTGCAGCCTTTGTTGTCTCTGACAGCGTCGACAAGTCCCATCTTTGGATTTCAGGTTACATTTCATCCAGCTCCTCCTCTGTGTTCTAGGGCAGAGCTCCTGCGGAAGCGGTCTTGGTATAGGGTTGAGGTGCATTGACGTGCCAGGGAGGAGAGCCTGGCACTCTGGGCTGTTTTGTATTCCTTACTCAGGGGCCTCAGGTTTTTATTCTTTTCTTTTCTTTTCTTTTCTTTTCTTTTCTTTTCTTTCTTTCTTTCCTTCCTTCCTTCCTTCCTTCCTTCCTTCCTTCTATTCTTTCTTTTTTTAACCTCAGCTTGAGTATCAACAAGATGTGTCTTCTTGTGTCTTCCCTTGCTTCCTTCTAAAGAGTTGTTTCTTTCATTGACATGGTAGCAGCTGCCACCCCTGAGTGCCAGCAGCTTCCTTCAATGCAGCACGTCCTAAAAGCCACCCAGTGACCGTCTCTGTCCTTTTCACCCGACTGAACTCAAGCGTCACAGTGAGACCACTAAAAGCTGGACACAGCCCAGACCTGAGTTGCCACAGTTTGGGGCAGCCCCCTACGAAGGCGACCATGTAGCGTGGGTGAACAAACTGCAGCCTCCCTCAGCCGCCTTTTACCTGCCCCTCCCCCACCCTCATTTCTTCCAAATGAAGGGGAGGAAATGCAACAGCTGCAACAGGTTGCTGGAGTGAGTGCATCCTGGGGGATGGGTCCCAGGGGACAGAGCCCAGCGCACTGGCCAGTCCTGCCCTGGTGCTGGTGTCTAAGGGCTCTCAGCACTAGGCTCCCTCTGTAATCCAAGAGGCTAGATCTAAAGTTCTCCTTATTTCTGTTTCTATTACTGAGGTTTTATTATTAACACAACTCAATAAAGTTTGCTGCAATTGATTTGCTACTGTTATAACAAGCTATGGGTAATTACTTTAACAAAAGAAATGATACCATGGATTTTCCGATAATATTTTTTTCCTGATCTGTTAAACTAAAATCACATGAAAGAAACAAAATGAAGAAACTTTATGGATTTGAAATCGCCAGCAGAAATGTGGTATAGCGCTCTGAAGCTCTGACCCTCTTTAGCGTGACGGTGCCATGCTCCAGGTTCACCTAGGGCCAGGCACCGCGGGAGTCCTCAGCTCATGGTCTTCATCTGGGTCTTTCCACTGAGGTCCAAGGGCTTGTGGCTTGCTTTTTGTTTGCCCTTGAAAGAGCATGCCCAAAGCTTGGGTATTCCTGTTTAAAAGCAGGAGAGAAAGCCCCAGCCACCACAAGCTGTCCCGTTTCTTCTTCCCTGTGCTCTCAGCTCTTCCAGGGTCTTGGACTGAGAGCCGCTTTGTCTTCATTTTGAGGAAATTGGGGATTGTGGCAGACACCATGACTGTTGTTACAGCTCACTCTAGACAATATCCACAAGGAATGCCCCCTCTCATGTCTCCAAGTCGGTAGAGAGCAATTCTTTGTGTCTGAAGGTCACTGGGCCTTGGATGTTGGGGCAGTAATAGTCCTTAGAGTCTACTACCCTAGTAGCAGGGAGGCGACTCCATTCTCTGAGAGATGCTTGTGGGTTCTCTCTTCTTGGGCTCTGTTCCAGCATAAAGGTCTTCCAGCCTCTAGTGTGGGAATTCAGGGTTCCTCTTCCCTGTGAGTACACCCTATGGCCAATTTGTGATCAAACCTGAACGGGTCATACACCAAAGTCACCGTCGGAGACCCTCTGGGTAGCCAGAGACGGCTGTCTGAGTTGATGGCGATGCCTCAGTACAAAGCATTTCTGTCTGTGAGGTCCTGACTGCTTCTTTCTCTTTGCTGTTTTCTCATCAGAATTCCCTGGTGGTGGAGATACCACCTTTCCGCAACCAGAGAATCACCAGCCCTGTCCAAGTCAGCTTCTACGTCTGCAATGGGAAGCGGAAGAGAAGCCAGTACCAGCATTTCACGTACCTTCCTGCCAATGGTAACGCTGTCTTTCTAACCTTAAGCTCTGAAAGTGAGCGGCGAGGAGGCTTTTACTAAGCCACAGAGGCCGTGAGAGGATGTTGTTATAAAAACAGTGTGGCTGTGTTGCTCTGTTCACACCACGTGATTGCCTATTCACAAGACCAAGTCGCCCACCCACTCAAAGAAAAGCGAAGCACAGCTGGGTGTGTTTGCCTGTGACTGATGCATGCTGGGGGAATCACTTGCTAGCCTTCTGCAAATGCTCAGCGGCCAAGCATTTCTGCGGCGCTCAGAAGCTGATGAGGTCGAGGTCTATCTGTCTACCCTCTGTGAGTCTTTGGGGTAGAACAAGTATTTGTTAAAGCAACCTTGTAGGTAGCTTCAAAAATAAGCCTGCCACAGCCATTGGGGAACATACACAATGTCCTTATAGTGATGGTCCCACACCGCATGCAGGGTCCCCGCTTAATAACGCCATCCCCTGGGGATGTGACGCCTTCAGGTGGGAGGTCTTCTGCTTGAGTTTGCTCATTTGGGGAATGGCTTCTTTTCATTCAGATATGATCAGTTCACCGTTTCAACTTTCTAGATTGTTTTATTTAAGAAAATACTGTTTTTGTTTTTGTTTTTTTGCTTAAAAAAAAAACCTCTTTAAGCTTGTAGGAAGGTGTGTCCCAGGCATCCGGGGTTTTCCTGTGTGGTGCAGGCCATTCTCCTGTGTGCAGAGAGCCAGAGTGGCTGCTATCCTGAGTTCTGTTGTGTTTTGAGTAAGCTCAGCTATGTCAACAACCTTTTTATACTGTTGCTTTCCCCCCTAAAACCTTAAAATATTCATATCATTTAAGAGCCCTGCCCAAGTCAGGACTTTCACTACCTGTGAAAGCAGCCACAGTGCTGTCTTAGTAAAATCAAGATTTTTTTTTAAGGTTTCAGGGTCTATTTTTGAAGTGTAAAGGCATTTGGAATATCTTAGACAGTAAGAAAAATTGGTATTAAGATACTGAAATCAACTGTCTTATCAGGCAAGCCCTAGGGATGCCCTTCAAAACTAGAACAATAACTTTGTTACGTTCCCATACAAGGGCATCAGCGTGAGCAGCTGTGAGGCCATGGCGAGCCTCCACACAGCTGCCCACACCCCATCCTGTCACTGCTCTGGGGTTTGTTGCACAAGGCTTTTTCTTTCACGGAATAATGTACAACCTTTCTTACAAAAGCAAATATTTGGCCTTTTTTATTTTTTTTGAAAATGCAATGATTGTGTCCTAATTATACTTCAAGCATGGTTGATCCAAAATTTTCAAAGGTCTAAACCTTATAAAGAGAAAAAAAATTGTTTTCTAAAACAATGTAGAAATTTCATGAAGATTAATGTTCCCTTGTTTGGTGGCGTATCTGAGTCCTTGATAGTGGTTCTGCACGGTGCTCAGTTTAGTAAAAAGCATTGTGTCGGAGGCTCTGTGGTGTAGTGTGTGCAGTGAGGCCCCAGGGCCTGGTGGCCGAAGTTTGCCACTGCCTCCCACACTGCCGCCCCACATGGAGGCAGCATCTAGGCACGCCAGCTGCTCCACACTTTGGTCTGCACCAGCCTGCCTCCCACAGTCCGCAAAGCCTCTTGCTGGAACCTCCCAGCTGCCCATCAGTCTCCTGCGTGGTGCAGGTCTTCCTCAGCCCTTCTGGGTTCAGCCATATGGTCCCGGCTTCTCTTCAACCTTTTCATCTTGCTGCCCCGACTCTTGCCTCCAACCCCAAGATGGCTGTCCACCACCAGCATGGACCCGGGGACTGGCCATGTTTCCACACCACTAGACTGTGAGCTCCTTCAGAGAGACCTTGGCCATCGTAGGGTTGAATCCCCAGCATTATTCATTGCCTGGTGCCTGGCTGGCTATCAACATGTGTTGTTGTTTTTTTTTTTTTTAAATAAATAAACACACAGATGGAGAACTCCCGCTCCCGTGTCCCGTGTTCTGTCTGGCGCTCTCCCTCCGTGCTCTGTGCCATCTGTTGCTCAGGGATATGTCTCTGAGCACGCTGATGCTGACAAAGGGCTGTATTCATAGCACCCGTGTTCTCGGATCGATGCGTTTGAGTCCTGGAGACCCTCCAGGACATGAGAGCGCGTAATTAACCTGTATCCATAGTGCTTGGCTTTGCTCCTTAGACACTGGCTATGAAGTTACAAGCCTTCCGCCCAAGTCTTCCTGTATTATCAAGTGGACTTCATGTACACCCATATTTCACATACCTGTGGCCACTGTGGACACAGGTTCTCAAGGCCATAAAATATGCTGTTAGGTGTTTGAGAAAGCAGGAATAAACCTGTTTAAACCCTACCTGTGAAATTCATTTTCTTCCATAGATACATAAAATCAAAGCTCATTTTAGTTTTCCGTCAAACTTAGGTGTGAGGATGCTTCAAGGGACCACATCAGATCCCTTGTGGAAGGGTCCTGTTCTTGCACAAAACTGCCCCTTGAACAGGCGCCTTTGAGTTTCAGGGTGTTGAAAATCAAAGTGCCCAAGGTATTCTGCTCCTTAGGAGGCAGGGGGGCACACCTCTTGGCCACCAGCTTTCTGCCCCATAAGCTGGACTGGTTGACACCCACCTTGTACCATCCTCCTCCTTCCTTCCTCTCACAGTAAAACTGTGATAGGGATCCGGTGGCAGAAAAACCAGATGAGTTCTAGGACCTCTAGGTTCTGGGGCGGTGGGGGGAGGGGGAGTGATGTCTTTGGTGCATGGTCTGCAGTGGCCCTGGAAGGTCAGTTTGACCTCTCCCCACCCTGCCCCCATTTTTTGTGTATCTAACAGAAAGAGTTTCCACTTGAATGTAAGGCACCATTTCCAGACCGTGAACATCCCATTGGAAATCCTGCACCGGGCGGGCCCTGTGGTGTCTCTGGGATAGTCGTCAGGCCCAGATGGTTAAAGCACCTGCAACCTGAGAGGAGGCTTCAGAGTCCCAGAGCCAGCCAGAGAGGGCCTCCCGGCCTTCCCGAGTCTCTTGCGCGTCACTGGTTTTGCTTTTCTCCCTGCAAGGGGAATATACTGTCTTCCTCCCTGAGCCATAGGGACCGAGATGGACACCATCGTGAGATGGGGGCTATGCCAGGAATGTGTAGGTCCGAGCCCATATTCCAATGTGTCAGTTAGAATTATAGAGTGATGAGTGAGTGTGGGGATGTCTCCCGCCAGAGTTCCGGGATGAGCATCTCTGCCAGTCTGAGCCCCCAGAAGAGATGTTTCTCCCAACCATACATGGCAAGAATCAGTACCTACCCTCAGCTGCAGGGGTACTCAGAAGAGAACCGGTTTATCTTGAAAACACACCCCAAAGTCAGTGTTTCTGTACCATGAAAAAATAAATTGAAACAAACTGTGGGGCTCTGAAATTCTGTCACCTCATCTGAAGCTGTTTCAGGTGGTGAGGAGCCCTGCCCTTCCCAGCCAGGGCAGGGCTGTGCAGATGAGAGTGAACACTTTCCGTCCCGAGCCCAGGACACCCGCCCCCACCCCCAGCACTGGCGACTCACCTGGTGGCAGAGACCAGTGCCTGACTGTAGGACAGGAAAAGCTCTCCAGCAGAATCGGTGTCAGGCAAGCAACCCCCTGAGCAGGTGAAGCTCAGAAGGGCAGAGCTGTCCTAGGACCAGCAGTCCTTGAATCTCTAAGGCCCGCCCTGCCACACACTTCTTTGCATGGATCCTAGGGTGGAGCAATGTGTGAGCTAGAGAATAAAATACCATAAATTACTTTCTCGAACCCTTCCTGGTTATTAAAAAGTGCGTCTTTCTGGTCATATGCCAGTTATGGAGATACATTTCCATCTCAGAGGAATAGGGGCAGCCATGAAACTCCTGCCAGGTTCTTGGTTGTGTCACTGGGTTCTAGAATCGTGGCGACGCGGATGCAGTTTAGCGGAGGGCCTGGGCCCAACCACAGAGGCAGAGAGCTCCCACCTTATGGTGGATTTCTGGCATCATGGGCCCTGTAGCTTCATCACTGCCCTGACCATGATGACCATGACACCACTGAAAATATCAGGCCTCAATTTGTAACTGCCCTGGCCTGGGTTCAGAGACCATGATGACGTGGCAGAATTGAGCGCAGTCTATGGCTGTCTGCCTGTGTACCCACCGCCGCTCATGCAGCTGCTCTCCTATTAGAAACCTGGGGCTGGAGAAGAGGACCAAAACTGCCCTACTCCAAGGGTGTCTTAGGAGGGGTCACAGAACACAATAGCCTCGTAGGGTAAAGGGCAGGACAGTTTCCCTCACTTGCCATCGTTCAGCTTGACCCTGCCTGCTTTAAAGAGCCCATGAAGACTTCAAACAACAGGGATCACAATGTGGTGCGTGCCGTACAGTGTGTGTTAATTCTAGGGACTGTGCTGCCTGATTTCCCTCCCGCAAGCTAAATAAAGTCCTCATGAAGGTAGCAGAGGGCAGGTTGGGTAAGGGAGAGCTGTCTCTGGCTCCTGGAGCTGCAGGTGGCAGCCACTCTCAACTCCCGAATGGCCTCAGTAACCAACTGGCCGTTGAAGCTGTGGTAGGTGTGTGCCTCGATGTTCAGATGACACTGGCCAGGAGGCATTTGGGATAATGGCCAAGGGCTGCCTAGACATCTGGATCACGGAGTCCTGATCCCTTAAACTCTCAAATCCATCTCCAGTAAGGAGGAATCTGTTTCTCATCCTGATACCAATGTGACAGGGAGATTTGACTCTTGCCCTATGCCAGCCTTTGGCATCCATGAGGAATGTTGGGCACTGGAAGAAGCCATTTCTGCATCTTTGTGGTCTCCCAGGCCTTTCCAGCTGTCAGGAGGCCTCAAATTGGGGTGAGAGCTGTGGACACTCTTGCCTAGATGCTAACAGGATGGCTCCGAGATGTGCACCTCTTAACATGTGATATAACTGTGTGCACACGCCTGCATCTATTCACTTTCAATTTTCATGTAGGGGAGGAACTGAAGGGTAGAGGTTGTCCTGGAGATCATAGGAGGAGAGAGAG